GGAAAGCATCCATTTACCAGATGGGAATAGGGGGGAGAGCATGGAGGGCTCTCTTGGGACCTTTCTTTTCCTTTCCAGGGTTTTTGCTCTTTTGTTTTCCCCTCCCCTTTTCATTCTGTCTTCCCCATATAAACTTCATCTTTGGCCCACGTTTCCTTCTGTCCAATGGGATAGGCAAAGCCGTGGAACCCGGCAGGTTTGTGGCAGGGGACCCATTGGGCAGTTCACCCATTTCCATACAGTCCCCACCACTAAGCTCACTGCTGCCGGGACACGTCCTGTAGCACATTTCTGAGCACTGCTGCTTTGTACAAGCATCATTTCTGATTCCTACACTTGCCAGAGCCTCAGCTTTGCAGCATTTCACGGCAGGCTGGTCAAAAGGCTTAAACTTCCAAGGATCAGGAATCATTTTGTAACAGCCGCTAGTCATGGAGGTCTTGCAGTTTGAAGTACCCTCCTTTTCCTTCCTAACAGGAGAGCAGCTGGTGCTACTGGCCCATGGATGGCCACTGGGCACCTCAGGGTTCATCCTCTCACCGTGCTCCACTGATCTCCAGATACACAAGAAAAACATGGGCTTTCTGGTTGTGTCCCGCAGCCTAGAGCTGCATTCACCAGGATGTAAATGCTCGTGGGTGGCTGAGCACCCAACAAAGTGTGCTTGCTACACAGTGAAGTCTGCCCGGCTGCCCCTTTCAAAGGCATCTTTGACATTCTCTGTGCTTTAAAACCTGCTGAGGACAGGTCTAACTAGATAAAGCTTAATATTCCAAACTCTCAGAAAACAGAATCAAGTCTTTTTTAACAGAGAAAAGATATTTCCACACTCTTCTTGCACCCCTGAGCATATTTCAAAAGCTGTTTTGCTTCCTGACAAAGTTTTAACTTCAAATAAAATACTTGCAATGGAAGGTATTTATTTACCCTTGATAATAAAACCCAGTGCTGTTCCCAGCGATGCCAAGAGGAGGATCCCTAGAATCACTGCAACAATTCGGCAGTTGGTACATAAAGCAGGAGAATCTAACAAGAAGGAAAAGAACATAAATATGATAAAGGTGAGGTTTTCTCAAGGGGATCAGCTCTAGAAATACAATATATGTCAAACTGCAGCATCTGTTTCCTTCAGCCTACATTCACGTTAGAGTGCAGTACTGTCTGCGTTCTTTTTGATATTCCAAACATGGATAATTCAGTGTTTAATATCAGTTAATTTTTTTAACAGGTAAGTGATGTTGCACAGGTTCTGATGCAGCAGGATGATACAGCTCTGTGTTGAAGGCAACACATAAGTGCAAATTACATTTAGCAGAATGTAGCAATTTCGATACACAGCTGGATCACAAGAAAAATGTGATCCTCGTCGCCAGGCTCTCTGGTTTGCTCCTCGTCTCAACGCTGAGTGGCACCAGCGTGTGGGTTTAAGCAGTTCAAGCCTGTTGCTGCCTGCAAAGCTCTTTTTGTCAGTTGTTCAGTGGTTGTGCTCTGTGTCAGGCTGTCACACACACACCCCCCCCATGCTGCTCTGGCTAACTCAGGAGGACATTCACACTCTTTTAATCAACTCACAGGCAAAAATATTTACACAAATTTACACCAGCTGATCACTCAACTGATACAACTGTTAATCTAAAAACAAGGTACGTCTGTGGTCCCCTTAATGTTACACTCAGCTTTCTTTCTGGCAGCCACGGTCAATACTGCGTGCTTCATGCGTGCACGGCACTTGCGTAGTTGCCTTCTCCCATTGCAGGCACTTACTGGTCAGTCACAACTCAGGATTACCTCTGAAGAGAAGTCCAACTACAGTGACTTTTTTGATACCACATACAGGACCTTAAGATCATCTAGTTCCAAGACACTGCCATGGGTAGGAACGCCTCAGCCTAGACCATGTCACCCAAGGCTCTGTCCAACCTGGTCTTGAGCACTGCCAGGGATGGGGTATTTACCTCTGCTTTGGGCAACCCATTCCAGCGCCTCAGCACCCTCACAGTAAAGAACTTCGTCCTTATATCTAACCTAAATGTCCCGTGTTTAAGTTTGAACACAACACCCCTTGTCCTATCGCTCCAGTCTCTGATGAAGAGTCCCTCTCTGGCATCTGTGTAGGTCCCCTTCAGACATGAACTCTGTTAGACTGTTTATTCAGTAATGCACACATCTTTCCCATTAACAGACTTTACCTTCGTTCGTGATATTCTTGTCCTCCTCTGTTCTTTGTCTTCTCATCATCTGTTTCTTGGAAGAAGTGCCGTGTTTCACATTCAGGTAGATGTGCTCCTTTTTATTCCTGTCATATGCTCGTAAGTGTTGGGTTTTTTTACTTTGCTTTACTTGGAATTTAGAAGTCCTATTAGCTACAAAGTCCAGGTCTGGATCTGAGTTTCCCTGAAGGTCAAAAGAGCTTTCCTTCCAGCAGCTGGGAATCATTTCTAATGATAGCACATATTATTAGCAGAAGAGTAATATACAGAACAAGTCACTGAATCAGAGAATGGTTCGGGTGGAAGGGATTTTAAATATCATGTAGTTTCAATCAGCTTTCTTGAATACAAAGTAATTTAAGCAATGACAATACCTCTCAAAGAGCTCTATCGTTTATGATTAAACTGCTCCTATGATGAATGCTAGGTAGGTCAGTGTTAGACAGGGGATCTTACTTTCACAGAGAGGTGAAGTAACCGAGCATTCTCTACATCAACTAATATAAGAAAGCAACTTAAGCTTGACCAAAATGACAAAGGTGAGGAATTACATTTCCTTATGTAGCAAAGAGACAGACATGGGTAATTCTAGTGGGACAATTTGCAGAGTGGATTTCTCTCTTTCACTACAAGCACCAGCAATAAAAGCAATACAGATGCATTGGATCTATATCAATGACATACTGATTGAAAACCAAAAATCCTTTGAGAGTTTTGACAAGAAAATTGAGGGGATTTACCTGATTTCCACAGGAGGAAGCTGAAATGCTATAGTAGAACGGGTGATGCATCTGTCCTGGCCTCCGTGTGTGACTCTGCAGGATGACAAATTGATTGTTACTATCAGACAGGAACAGGGAAACTGAGAGATGAGAAGTAGGTGTCACGGGGACCCACACAGGAAACCTGTGTTCTTCTATTGCAGCACAGAGCTCTACGTTTTCAGAGTTACAGTGAAAAAAAGCATGTTCCTGCCATGGTGGCACCAAACTCTGTTTGAGCTAACTGCAATGTCACATTCCCTCAGCAACTGAATGCATCGAACAAGCTGAATCTGTAGAGTCCATTATTAAAAGCATAAGCTTGTACTGCTAGTCTTCAGAGGGAAAACAAATAATAGCACTTTCAGAACAGAAGAGGACTTCACAATTCACTCATTTTGTTAATTCTCAGGTTTAGTCAAAGTCTGGAAATGTAATTTTATTAACATTTCATAATTACTTTTACGTTATAGGTGACCAGGAGTATATATGTTTAATTTTGAAACATAAAAATATTTTCCATCCCTTTTCTTCATGTCCTTCACCTTCTTTCTCTTCTTGTTCCATTTATTTTTAAGGACATGGACAAGAACTGGTTGGGGATGTAAAGGCGGGGGGAGGCTTGGCCGCAGTAACCTAAGATGTTGGAGTTCAGGATCCTGAAAAGAAGGAAGAACCTGCAAAAAGCAGAATCACAACCCTGGACTTGAAGAAAGCAGCCTTTGGGCTGCTCAGGAATCTGCTTTTAGGTCTCCCATGGCAAACAAAGTCCTAGAGAGAAGAGGTTCAGAGTAGCTGGATGGTTTTCAAGGATCAGCTCCTCTGAAGTCAAGAGTGGCCCAGGCAGTGAGCAGGTTACAGAGCGATGGTGACAGCGGGCCCGCTGGATGAGCAGGGAGCTTCTGACTGAACTCAAACATAGAAAAGAGAAGGGTACAAAAGGTTGAAGCAGGTTCCCAGTGACCAAGGAGGAATTCCCTCGCTTGCGAGGATGGGGTTAGGAAAGACAAAGCCTGCCTGGATTGGCATCTGGTGTGAAGGGCCACAAGAAAGGTTTCTTTGGGTACATCAGGAAGCAAAAAATACCTAGGGAAAAATGTGGGCCTGTATGGAACTGGTCAGAAAGACATAGAAAAGGGTGATACACGCTGTGACTCAGCGCTTTCTTTGGCTTAGTCTTTGGTAAGGTGTGAAATACCTTCAGCAATCTCAGGTCCATGAAAACTATAAGGAAGTCCAGTACAAGGTAGACTTACTTTTGGTGGAGGAACATTGAAACTAAATGTACATACACAAGTCCATAGACCCTGATGGGACACACCACGGGTGCTGTGGGAGCTGGCTTCATCACAAGGCCGCTCTCAACAACCTTTAAAAGGTCATGGCAATCAGGAAAGGAACCTGAAGACTGGAAGACACGAAATGTGACTCCTGTCTTCAAGAAGCAGCATCCAGGGAAGGACAGGCCAGTCAGCCTGACATCTCCCCCCGGGAAGCTGATAGAGCAACTAATCCTAGAAACCATTTCCAGACACATGAAGGATAAGAATCACTGAATCACAGAATGGTTTGGGTTGGAAGGGACCTCTGGAGATCATCTAGCCCAATCCCTCTGCCCCGGCAGGGCAATCGCCTTCTTGTCAGCATGGACTTGCAAAGGGGAAGACATGCCTGACTGACCTGGTAGCCTTCTACAATGAGGTGACTCGCTGTACGGAGAGCTGTGGGTGTTGTTTATCTTGACATCCATAAAGCTTTTGACATTGTCTCCTGCAACATCCTCACGGACAAGTACTGATAAAGTATAAAGTTGGGTGAGTAGACAGTGAGATGGATAAAACCTTGCCAGAGGGCTGTGAGCAGTGACACGCAGCCCAGCTTCAGGCTAGTGACCAGACATGCCCCAGGGCTCCACACTAGGTGCAGCAGTGTGTCTGTGACCTTCACAATAGAACAGAGTAAGTTTTCTTACCCTCAGTAAGTTCTCAGATGATACAAAACCGAAAGGAATGGCTGATACACCGGGTGGTTGTCCCAAAATTCAGACAGACCTGGGCATGTTTGGTGAAATGGCCAGAAAGGGACCTCATGAAGTTCAGTAAAGGTAAATGCACATGGTGAGAAACCAGTACACACCGCGGGTCAACTGTCTGGAAAGCAGCTTTCCAGAAAAGGGTCTGGGAATTCCTGGCACATGGAAAATTGAACATGGGACAGCAATGCGCCCTCACGCCCTCATGGCAAACGTGGCCAACACCCTCCTTGGTTGCATTAGGCAGAAAGCTGCCAGAAGTGCTCTAGTCTGCACTGGTCAGGCCGTGCATCCAGTTTGGGGCTCCCCTGTACAAGAAACACGTGGATTTACTGGAGCAAGTAGCAAAGAACGACTAAGATGATAAAGGAACTGAAGCATCTTTTGTACAAGGAGAGACTGTGAGAGCTGGGGCTGTTCGGCCTGATGAAGAAAAGGGTCACGGGGGTCAGGGGGATCTTGAATTTTTTTTTTCCTTTATTTTTCTCTCTCTCTTTTTTTTCTTTACAAATGTACAGTGAACGTGGTCAAAAACTAGAACCCATTTCCCAGGGGTGCTAAAGCCTCGCTCTTTCGGAGATGTTCAAAAGCCAGCTGGACAATGTCCATAGTTACTTGCTGTAGTTGACCCTGCTTTGGGCAGGGCACTGGTGATCACCAGAGCTGCCTCCCAATCTCAACTATTCCGTGGTTCTGTGACAAGTGGTGACATTTCAGTGGGAAAGGAGAAGAGGAAGGTTGAACGTTACAGCTATCTGATTCCGCTACAGCAGCTTTGGAGAGGCAGGTAGCTTCTAGGCTGCCTTGCAGCACGGTAAGTCCTTGGCTATTGGGAGGGACTCCTTGGGCTTAGAGAGTTAAAAGAGACTTCAGGTTGGTCTGTCTTGTGCCGTTGATAAGATCTAAAGGCCACCCACATCCAAAGACCTCCTGCTCCTCCTCCCTCACTCCACTTTGTGTGGTGTGTGCTTCAAGGAGCTGGCAGCTTCAGGGCCAGTTCTGCACGAGTGAGCTGCAGGATGCTGCTGACCCATTTTCATAGAAAAACTTAAGAGTCTGTGGCTTCTGATATTTCAGACTCATCCAGACAGTGCTTGAGCAGCTGTATTGTAAAACATCTCTCTGGGGGCAAAACAAGCGAGTACAGTTCTTCCTAGGAATTATACCATGCACCATAACTCACAAGATCAAAACCAATTGTGCCCGCAGCAGAAATCACATAAAGGATGCACGCTGACTGGACAAAGAACTTCAACGTTGTTTTACAAGTCTGAGGTTCCTTGTGGGCAGAGCTATGACACAAACACCAGACTTACCACACTCCCCAGCAAGCTGGATCTAAATTCTGCCCACGTACCCCCTGAGTTCTTCATTGTGCTGCTGCATGACTGCATATTCTAGGCAGGAGGTTCCTTATTTAAAACACAGATGTCTCAAAC